TCTATCTATCTATCTATCTATCTATCTATCTATCTATCTATCTATCTATCTATCTATCTATCTATCTATCTATCCATCCATCCATCCATCCATCCATCCATCCATCCATCCATCCATCCATCCATCCGCCTGTCTGTGCATATATACCATGCACATCAAATGCATGCAGACTGACGTTTTCATGCCTTTGTTTCTCTTCTTTGTGACGCTTACAGCTATGAAATGACAGAATCACTGAAAAACATTGGTCTCAGATTTTACTATTATACAGATGCTACAATATGTCTCTTCAAACATTTATTTATTTGCAAAAAAATCCAATGTTTGTATAACACAATAACAAAATGAATTATTCACATTGATTGCTGACCTACACAATGGGAATATTTAAATTTCAATTATCTGCCTAAGCTGCATGAAACTTGTCAGGGAGGTGTGCTTCTGTTGTAATTCAACACAAATGCAGTTGAAGTGTCCCAACAAGTCATGCTTGATGGGAAAAAAATGTGGTTCCATTAAATTTTTTACCAAAGCTGTATTTTTAGTAGCTCTTTGAAATTATTATAATATATTTTAACTAATAAACACTTTTTTTTTTTTTTTTTCCTCTCAGGTGAAATGTTCATCCCATTCTACACAGGCAGAGTCATTGACATCCTTGGTAGTCATTACAAACAAAGTGAATTCCTCACAGCTCTTCTTTTCATGGGACTCTACTCTTTTGGAGGGTATGAGGGAAGGTTTTCTCTCCAAAATCCAAATCTACCATCTCCATGAATATGAGTGATATCTAATTCAGCCTCTGCTTTTATTCACCATGCAGTTCTATGAGTGCTGGCTGCAGAGGGGGTCTCTTGATTTGTGCCATCAGTTCATTTGCACGCAGAATCAAAGTTAAACTGTTTGAAGCTCTAACCAAACAGGAGATTGCATTCTTTGAAACCGTAAGGACAGGTAATCCTTTGAAAAGCCAACCAAATGTAAAAAAAAAAATCTTCTGTCTGAAATAATACCAGAAAACTATTGTGTCTCTTTTAAAGGTGAAATTACATCAAGATTGTCTAAAGACACAAATCTAACAGGAAGGACCGTTTGTCTCAATGTCAATGTGCTGCTGAGAACATTCCTGAAGACGATGGGCATGATCTCCCTGATGATGAGTCTCTCTTGGAAGCTCACATTCCTCGTACTGATGGAAACCCCCATAACTGGACTAATGCAAAACATCTATGACACGCACTACCAGGTAACCTGCAAAACAAAAGAATCAATGTTGGATCCACAGACCAACATCATACATCTTAATCACCAAAATACCATTTTGTACTACGGTTTAGCATTTAGCACTGTTATAGATTTCCAAGAGCCAAAAAAAACATCTAACAAAATTTTATCAGATAGAAAAAGATCAATGCTTATGTTCAATCATGGGCTGTTCTAGACAGGGGCCAGCGGGGCCAGTGCAAATGGTCCTGTCCCTTGTTGTTGCACTTGTACTTAGGCAGAATGCTATAAAAATGTTCTATGATATTTACTTGCATATAAAACATGTATGATTTATTCCTTTGATCTATTTATTTCTTTTTTACCTTTACAGTTTTCTTTCAGCAATGATTAAAAATCAAAATGATTCACTTCGAACTTCAGCTGTATTGCAACAGAACCACCATTATGATCTATATCCAGTAGTCGAGTTGTAAAAAAAAAAAAAAGAAAAAAAAGAAAGGGGGCTGGTGGATTTTTTTTTTTTTTTTTTTTGGAAGTATACATAGATTAATGAATGTATTCTATAAAACTAAAGGACTATGCATGGTATGGTTGTTCCATGTCAGGTACGCCGGTCATTGACCTTTACCAAGGCACCTTATAGTAGCACTGCAGTCAGTCTCTGGACTGGCATGGCTATCACTGTCCCTACATATTTAGGGACTAATTTCCCACTGGGATCAGCTTCATAGTCATGGTAGGAAACTTGGAAAATCTTTTGGCAATGAATCTAATAAGTTTTGAAACAAAACATTGCAATTTAATATATATGAATCCTTTTCAAGTCAAGTATTTTTTTATTCAAATTACATCAATTAAATTGAAACAGCAGAAATAATTTTCAAAATCTAAAAAAAGGTTGCTTACAAATTCAAATACATTAGAATTAGCCTGAAAATGAAATAAGCCTATATAAATTATAATAATTGTACTCACCTTTCAAATATTTATTTAGAGTATTTATTTTATAAAATAGGCTGTTTATCAGAAAATCAGTATTGCTTCTATTAGCTAATTTAAAGTAAGATAGACTTCATGCTGCAATGAATGAGTCAAAACTATTCTAACAGGTCAGTGGAACTAAGCTATTTACCATTGATCGGACAATAGGCATTCTGCAAGTAACTAGGGGACCTTGCAGTCAGATATCAACCTTAGTAGATGCCATTTCCCCATTTTGATATCAGCACCCTTCTAGATCATTTCTGACACTTTATTTGTTAAACTTAGAACCTTGAACCTGCTGAAGATTCCCTCCCCTCCTTATTTTCACATTTATTGTCCCAGACTTATGAAATTCATAACACAATCAAAGAGAGCAGGTATGATTATGTGGAAAAACTTGTATAATTGTAAACACATTATTTCTCAAACTAAGCAGGGGAGGGAGATCTCGAAAACTTAGAACCTGGAACCTGCGGAAGATTCCCTCTCCTCATTTTTTTTAACATTCCCTCACATGCCGCTTGGCCGCAATGTTGTTCAGAACACCATCACCTGCTCCGCTGGTTGTGCCACTGAGGTTGAAAAAGAAAGCGCATATGCCCTCTGCACCACCGTAACTTGGTCAGGCTACTTGAAAGCCCACAGCCTGCCAAATGTTGAAAAGGCAATATTATTGCCATTACTTTTCAAATATATTAGACATTTACACATTCAGTGATAAAATGTCACAGGGGATGGGGGAATGGTCATTTAAAAAGGGGGATGATTTTTAACATTTTTTTAAGAAGGGGGAAGGCATCCTCCCTCATCCTCCCTTAACTCGAGCACTGCTTATATCAGCAGTTAGTGAAGAGCAATGTTTTGTGCATATGTGCTAATAAACAGACACAGCTACAAAGTTCCCAACAAATGTTATCTCATTACAATTGATCCTAGTAACCATACTATTTATTTAAGTTTAGTTTACGATCCAATTGGTCAAAAAGTTTTCTGTTGAAGTAACACCAAGCCGGTTGCTTTAAATTGAGAACCTCAAGAATTTATTCCTCCTGGATGAAGATATGGTGACTGTCTGTTTGTGTTCTGCACCATTTTATAATTGAGTTTAAATAAGTTGGTAACCATAATTTTCATTGTCGCAGCTGGATCTGTAAGAAATGTAACATGCGTAAAGGTTTATTCCTGTTTCAAAATTTCAATTAAGGGTAATTGTGTTTCCTCTAACTTTATTTTACTTCAGCGGTTGTCCCAGGAAATGCAGGATGCAATGGCTCGTACCAATGACTCTGCTAATGAGGTTGTGTTCGGTATTCGTGTTGTTCGAAGTTTCAACACAGAAAAGCACGAAGCTGATCGCTATGATGAACGATTAAAGGAAACACAGTCACTGAAGACTCGCCGGGACATTGTTCGTTATATTTACCTGCTTGCACGGAGGGTAAGAAGTTTGTTTTTATGTATGTTGGAATATCAACCAGCATCCAGTCGGTGATTAAAGGTCTTCCTGATATATCCTATTTGCTCTTTGTAGTTGACAGGTTTGGGAATGCAGGTGTTAATTTTATACTATGGCAGACTCTTCATCCAGATGGGTCAGATGACCACTGGAAACCTGGTTTCCTTCATCATCTACCAGTCAGACCTTGGAACCAACATCAGGGTAGGTGGTCCATTGGGCTATTATGTGAAATCTTTGTTTGGGGAAATGTGTGAATTCAAAATGTGCATTTTAAGAAACTAATACTGATATTATATTCCACTTATAGGTTAAAATAACATTGCACTTATATATTTTGGTCACCAAGTAATCGTGAAAGACTTTTTTATTTAACAGCTTATGTTTAACAGACAACCTTATACACTATACTCTATACATGCACTCAATACATGGTTGGAACAGTTTTTTTAAGTGCAGAGGATGCTTCAAAAACACTTTTTTTTTAGTATTTTTTTTATATTCTGAAAAGACCAAAGATTAAGCTTATAAAATTTTAAAACAGACTTTGATCTCCTATAGGATGCTTGGTGGGTTCATTACATGGCTTTGACCTCCATCTCACTCCGCTACCCTGGATTATCTCATAGAGTTCACTTTCTTCCAGACTCTTACATATATCTTCGGTGACATGCTGAACTCGGTGATGGCTGCTGGGAAAGTCTTTGAGTACATAGACCGAAAGCCTCAGATCAGCATGGATGGAAAAAGGAAACCAGAGCAGCTGGAAGGACGTATCAGTTACTGTGGACTGAACTTTGCCTATCCTTCAAACCCTGAAAAAACGGTGCTGCAGGTGAGAAAAAAAACAATCCTTTTTAGTTTAATTCTAAGAAAAGTATTTAGTGATAATAATACAGCTGATAAAGGAACATGGATGCTTATAAGATACGGTTCAATCTCAGATATTTTCATCATATTGTGTTATTCTTACATCTATTTTTGTCTCAGGATTTCAGTTTGGAGTTGAAGCCAGGTCAGGTGACGGCTCTGGTTGGTCCATCTGGAGAAGGAAAAAGCACCTGTGTGAGTCTCCTGCAGAGATTATATGAGCCTCAAGAAGGAGAAATCCTATTGGATGGAGAACCACTGAAATCCTATGACCATCATTTCTTCCACAGGAAGGTAACTTATCAATAAGTGTTTTTATGCTCTCCCCTGAGGTAAACGTTGATACCTTTATTTGCTCTGTTGAAAATAATTAAATCATACTGAGGGTAAAAAAAAAAGTGTTTTTTTTACAGCACAGTCTGATGAGGCTTTGTGTGACAGATTGCAGTGGTGAGCCAGGAGCCCGTCCTCTTCTCTGGATCCATCAGAGATAACATCACCTACGGACTGACTAACTGCTCACAAGAGAGGATTGAGGAAGCAGCACGGAAAGCCAACGCCCATGACTTCATTAAAACACTGGAGAAAGGCTACGACACAGGTAAACCAGTCCGACCACATCTCTGTTCCTTTTACATGACTGAATGAAAAAACAAAGCAAATGCTTTTATATTTGAGAGAAGTTAGATTGTAAAAGTACAATTTTCTTATAAATTTAACCTTCTAATATATACATTGTTTTGGATGGTTAATTATTTGTGTGCTTTGCTTGGTGTTTGACATTAAACAGGTGACTCTGAATTTGAACTTTAGATTGTTAATTTTTACAGAGGTAGGAGAGAGTGGAGGCCAGTTATCCAAGAGTGAGAGGCAGAGGATTGGGATCGCTCGAGCTCTGGTCAGAGAACCGAAGATCGTCATTCTGGATGAAATAACCAGCTCCTTGGATGCTGAGAGTGAAAACAAGGTTTGTCGTAATTTGTAGAAATTTGATTTCCTCAGAGGGACGTGTTGGTATTGATATTTTAAGAATTCAAGGGACTATATTTTCCTTATATCCAACACGCATTAACATGCTCATGAAGCAAACATCTATCTCGGGTCCCACATAAATATATAGATAAACAAAATAACTAAATGTCCAATAAAAATTATAAATTGTCTGTATTAAAACAAAAAAAAAGTGTGAAGGATGTAGGGTAAAATTACTTTTACCTTAACAGAATAAATGTAACCTGTTAAGCCATATTAATAATGTGTTGCATTCAGGTGTAGTTCTACACATTATTAATCTGGTATTGCTCCAATCAATTCCACTGAAGTGACACCTATAGGCTTGCGCACCAAACTTTGGTTTCAGCCGATGCATGACATAGCAGCTCACACCATTAGAAAGTACCACAGCCTACATTTTAAACTGTTCCTCTTTAAAAGATGAAATTGTGCATACTGACAAACAGGTGTGACAGAAGCAACTACATGTTCCAAATTAGTATAAAGACTAACACAATATGCTAAAAGACAAACCTATTTATAGCAGTAAGTTTTTCATAGTTGTAAAAACATGTATAAACATTATGCATGTAGCATAAACACTTTTTTTTGTCTATGAATATATTCTATCAGGAATCCTCAAGTGCCATATTTTTAGCGTCCTCTGGGTTAAATTTGTTTAAAAATATTGTTTAAGGCACCTTTTCCTAACTGATTATTAGCTGATTAATCAAGGGAAAAAAATCCACAAATTAATCAATTATCAAAGTAATCGTGAGTTGGGCCCATTGTGAATGCACAATTACCATGAGAAGTTAGCGTACAGACAAGGTAGGAATAAATGATAACCAGGTTACTTTTTATTTAAAATATTTATTTAACCTCTGAAATTATGTTTAACTATGAAATCTGTAGTTGTTTGTGGTTTTCAGATTTCAGAAGCGCTAACGAGGCACTTAACAACTATTGCAGCAAAAACTACCTTTGTTTCTCTTAAATGGTGTTGAATAAATTGATAAATATTATATCAAACAATACCTAATCATTTACAGACTAATTGCATCTCTGTTTAAATACAATTTTAAAAAGGATAGGGAGCCATGCATGTCAAATTTAATTATTTGTTTGCTTACTGGTTTTGCAAATGAAATTTTGCAAAATGCTAGAGGAACTGCGGCGAACTGGTGACAGAAAAGTGAAATGGCGTGCTCAAAGATGACCCTGCACATTTAGAGTATGTTTGGCTCAACCTGCTGATGTGAAGCAGGATTCTCCATCATGAACACAATCAAAAATAAATATGGATCCATGCTCAAAATGAGACCTTGATATGTGCTTTAGAATGGCTTTGTCTCCATTCAAACCCAGGTTTATAGCCTTGCAGGGCAGCATAAAGCCCACTGCTCTCATTAAGCCCTAAAAAATAAATAAATAAAATAAATGGTCAGTTCAGTCAGGAAATTGTCTATATACAAAACTGAAAGATTGTTGTCCTCAACTTGAAACAACACTTTAGATTTTAAAATGGACATTTTTTTTATTTTTTTTTTAAGTCAGTGTGTAACATGGACGCATAAAAACCTAATTTTATTTCTGTGTTGAATTCTGTTTAAAGTAACAGATTATATGGTCATTAAAAATGTCTCTGGACCTTTACTGGTTGTTAATTTTCTTTATTTGGACTCCACTGATTTTTAATTGGTTACCCCTGGTGTAGGTTCTTCAGGGCCTGGCAAGCTGCCCCAACCAGACCCTGCTGGTGATCGCTCACAGGCTGAAAACCATTGAGAAGGCGGATCAGATTGTTGTGGTCAGAAGAGGTCAGGTTGAGGAGAAGGGGACTCACCAGGAGCTAATGGAGATGCAGGGGAGCTACCATAAACTGAGGAATGAGCTGTTTGACGAGGTTAACTCACCAAAGTGAACTACTAAAAGTGATCTTTACCCAAACTGTTGCCTGTTGTAAAGAAAAAAAACTGTTTTCTATTCCTGGCGTCTCAGATATTTGTAAACAAATACATTCTGATAGTTTTGTACAGATATACAAACATTTTAAAAGCTTTTATTTTGTATTTATTTTAAGGCTTATTGGTGTAATTGTGAAATGAAAATATGTTTAATCAGATTTACCCTCACGATGTAATTTTCTAATTAATGACTTGGAGAAATTATTGATCCAACAAGTCAATGTTGCTGTAGACAACTTTTAATACAAATAAAAGAAAAAGGTTGCTTTGAGATTTCTTATGTCAAAAAATGATTTGCAAAATCCACAGTTTTATACTCTTTAATTATGACCAGAGAGATTAACTCTGGGCAGCATTTTTTTCATTTATTTCACTAAACAGAACTCCAAAATAAAACGTTAAAAATCGAAACAATATCAAATATACTAAAACATCCATCCAGCTGTGCTTGTTTGAAATAGGAAGTAATGGGCCGATAAGGGACAGAAAGCAGCCCTGGTGGAATCCTAACTGCCTGGGAAATATGAGTCCACTTTGTGCCGTTATAGTCTTGCTGCAGGTATGCAAGTAATGGAAAACTCAGAAACCATGGAAATATCTACACTGTACAAAGAAACAAAGATATATTTTCTTTTATATACATTTAATATGCTGATCATACTTTGATTTTATGAATTCTGTAATGGTCAGAATCTACTCCATTTACTCATAAATACAGTTAAGCCACCGGTTCTTTATATCCCTGGGAGAAATAAAAGTATTTGTTAAAAAAATGTCCTTTTGAGTGAAAGCATATAAACAATTTAGAGTAAATTAGCCAGCGTCACATCCTGATTGTAATTGTGGAAGGAGCTTAGCTAAGGAGGGATTATCAAAATGAAAACATTCAAAAATTTGGTCATCGCTTTTAATAAAGGTTGGACAGCAGTAATGCTAAAAAATATTTTCCACTAATCATGGAGAGGTGTATTATATGTAATTTATATGAATATGGATTAAATTAGAGATGTATTCTGTGCCTTTGATATTTTTCAATACTCTTTGATGGTTATTTCTATCAGAAAAAAATGTCTAAATATATTTGAAATATAAAAACTAATAATTTGGGGGTTTTCTGTTCATGGCTGCTTTTTAAATGCTGCTCACAGAAACTAAAGAGTTCTTAATGATGATCATAAGTGGATTTTATAGTCCGGTCTGACCTGGAAAGTCCCTGATTATCAACCTTGCTTCTCTTTTGGCACTAAACCAGGAATGAGGAAAATGTTGATTCATCGGTTCAATCAAAGCATGATCTCCCTCTATCGACAGATGCAGCTCAGCTTTGGAAACAACTGACGCCATCTTAGTAAAACAACTGAGCTTCAACAAAATGGAGGCCAGAGGCCTCTCCATTCAACCTAAGTCACCAATACAGTTTATGTTAAAGTAACATTTATTAGGTACAACTAAAAAAAAAAAAAAATATTGGCTAAAAGTAAAATATTTATCTTAGGAAACTGAAACTCATCACATACTATAAAATCATCACATACAGAATGATACAATGAAACTCTTTGTTTTTTAGCTAATAGCCTAATTGCTTTTAGCTGAGGAGGATGAAAGATAATAAAAAAAAATAAATAAATACAAAGTTTTTTAAGTCCTGGTGTCACATCCTAATCAGCTCCAAACCCGAAACATGTTTCCTGGACCTTTAAACAGTCTCTCAGTCTGGGTCAGCAGATGACACAATCAAAAATAAATGTGACCTTTCTCATGTCGAACTGCTCCTGAACCAGAGAGAACACCAGAACTGCCTTAGTTAATATACTGTAGGGAGAAAAGAGGTGGACTGTTGCTTAATGGTCCAAAATACTGTTTTCAGAGATAAAGGTACCAGAGTCAGGAGAAAAATCCTTCTCTGATCGATCTGATGTGATTTTCTCATTTTTGGAGACTGAATTATGGGTTTTATTTACCTGTGAACTTGATCATAAAAATCATTACGAATAAAAGATGGGAATTTATGATAAACAAACATAAACAAATCGAAAAACCTGGCATAAATTATTGGTCTGTCATGTACCTATATGTACACAAGCTTAATAGTTCTATTATAAGCAGCTCTTTGAGCTGCTGCCATTTGGAGGTCAGGTATATAGCTAAAATGTTCTGAACTGTCATAGAAAGTGCTTTGATCTTATATACCGGTAAATTATTTATTGCCTGCTGTAAGTATTTGCTTCAAATTTGATTGTATAAAAACTCTATACAATCAAATTTTAGTAAAACTTTTTCTTTAAGTAAAAATAGATAGATAGATAGACAGACAGACAGACAGACAGACAGACAGACAGACAGACAGACAGACAGACAGACAGACAGACAGACAGACAGA